CACTTCTTTCATCATGATAATATTCCAGAGGCCACCTCTTCTCTCTCCATCTCCTCTGGCTGAATAACGGTCTGTCTTTCCTCATCAACGTTGGCTCTTTGTTTGAGAGGCCTCACTCTGTGGAGACATCAGACCGCTGCTCTTTGTCTATGTCTTCTCTCTGTTTTTCCCCTGAACCAGCCTGGGTGGGCCAGCACTGCCCAAACAACTTTTCTCCATCCGAGGCCTGAGGTGCCTGGGGTTACTCTGAGGACAAACTGAATCTGCCAGTACATGCAGGTTGTACACACTGTATAAAATGTCCTTGTGCCAACAGACGTGGTGAATATTTACACACAGGCCCTCAAAGATATTCATTCACAAAAATCTGACTAAAACTACACTAAGAGCAGCATTTCTGCTACATTCACCAATGAGAGCCAAGAACACACCGAGAGGTCCCACCCCCTCCCCCACAGCCACCCTTTAACTCTTCTACTGCTCGGCTGTGAAAAAGAAGCTGGCCTTAGATCAGGCCCATGTTCAGGACTTTGTTGAATAGAATACTTCTGCTCTGACATCATCGATAATCAACTTTTTCTACAACCAATCAAGGCAGACAGACGAAGACTGAACCAAGTCTGTTGCCTTTGAGAGGAACACTGATGAGAGAAGCTGAAGATGATTTATCTTCTGTCTCACAGCCAACATACGGACACTGTAGACAAACACTAATAAAGTTAAACAACAAGTATATTAGTTGGTGTGCCGTATCTGTGTGTGTCTCTGTGTGTGTGTCTCTGTGTGTGTGTATACAGTGTCACGTTTCCTGGTTGCTATAGTATCCGACAGACGCTTCCCTGCATCACGCACACAAATGCCGCCACTCAGAGAACTAACACAGTCTGTAACCAAACATGTCCCTCAAGACCTATTTATACGTCAATTCATCCAGGCCACACTTCACTCCCCCTCTGCTGCACCACCTCCCCCCTGGAGGGAGCAGAGGAGGAGGTGGAGGTTAGGAGAGAGGAGGTCAGGCTGGAGAAAGGAGGAGTTCAGGAAGGAGAAGATGAGAAAGACAGGAAAATACACAAGGAAAATAAATAAATACAATCTTAGACAAAGGAGGACGACGAGAGTGATGATGATAAAGATGGTGATGCAGAATTTCACTTCTTCTCCCTAGGGGCTGGTGAACTCTCACCCTCATCCTTAAGCTCATCAGGGATGATTTGGCTGGGGTCCCTGAGGTCATGATGTGCATTTATTACTCTGAGAGGGGCTGATGGGAAATGTGTACAACTCTACAACAGGGTCATCATTTACATCGTTTATCAACCTTCACCTGAATCAATATGTGAGGATGTAATGATCACATTATCACATTATGTAACAATCCACTGAGTGGTGCCTTCACTGACCTCAGAAGGCTTACTGACGTATGGTCACTGCATGATGTGGACAGAGGTGTCTGACCGTGCCGCATAACACTTCAAATCTCTGCTCAAATATCATGTTGTGATCCTATTTACATCTGAGGTGATGAAACACTTCAGCAGCCTGTGAGCAACAGCTGTGATTGACCTGCAGCGATTGATCGCTCTGTCTAAACCAATACTGATCGCCCAGCTGATTCTAGTGATGCCTTTGTTACCACCTGAATGTCCCTGAGGCCCAGTCCTGTCTGCACACACTTCCCTCCGTCTGCTCATCAATCAATCAATCACTCAATCAATCAACCCACCATTCACCCTGTCCACCTGTGGGACCATCCTTCTTCTGACTTTTTCTTATTTCAGTTATGTTCTCTGGTCCTGGTCCGACTCAGTGGACCTTCTCTGACACATGGGATCTGCCTAGGTTAAAACCAACCCAACTGGGTTTTAAGCAGTGGTCAACTGTGGACAGTGGGACAAGTATGAAGACAGATGGACGTATATACTGGTACAGGAAAGACAGCTGTGACGTTAGAGACACAGATGAGGAACCAGTGGACTCATGGGAGATTTTTTATGGTCGCACTGACAGAAGGATGGAGGTGTGCTCTCTGGAGGGAGGAGGTATGACGGAGGAGGCGTGCTCTAAACTGGACCTCGGGGAATGAGAAAAATAATCTGAATTTATTTAGAGGCTAATTGTATCCAGCGTTTGTTAAAAAGCTGTATTGGTTGGACAGATGATGATGATGATGATGATGATGATGATGACGACAATTATGTTGGGTCTCACCAACCATCACCAGCCATCCTGATGTGAACGTGCATGATAAACACATCACAATAACTTGTCTGAAATGCGAGAAGTTTTGTTAACCAAGTATGTGCCATGCTTTCACACATAACATGCACATTGTTTAGCCAATCAAATGACGGCAGCTTAGCCACATCAGATGACGCCCAGCTCTGCTATTGTCCCTGCAGGAATGGCAGATGGAGGACTAAAGAGAACTGTGGAGGCCTTAGAGAAGAGGAAATGATTTGGCAATACTGTGGATTCAAGGGAGAAGATGATTTTCAGACTCAGGTATTGTGTTGGACCTGCAGAGTGGTTGTAGCCACATCTAGAGATAACAGCACCAACCTCCATCACCACCTGCTGCACCACCATAAAGAGCTGCACAAGCAATTGAATCAAGAACACAAAAGCCAAGCAGCACTAAAGTAACGCAACCATCACAGCAGCAACAGTGCATTGCTCAGCATTTTATGAGTATGACTCCATATGAAAAGTCCCCTGAACAATACACAGAAATTACAGAAACCACAACTCACTATTTGGGTAAGGACCTGATGCCCATTAATACTGTGACCAGACCCGGATTTGAGAATCTAGTTAAACTCAAAAGACATGACATGATATGAGGTGCCATTATGGAATTGGATGAGAAATGGTGTCCTTTTATTTCAAGAGATGTTTTTGTATTTGTAAGGAGCAAGAAAAATTAAACTTTAAATTCCTAATAAATGTAATAACGTGTAAATTAATGTTATGTGGATTTAATTCAATAAACATATTTATATTTAATACTATTTATACTTAGTTCATTGTCATCAGGTATTCAACTTAAATATTTTCTTGGATAGTTCTGTTCATACTGGCTCTTCAGCCCCGTTTGAAAAAGACTGTTGTCAACAGAAACGGCATGTGTGGTCTGGATAAGTCACATGGACAGTTGGTAAAGGCTTAGTGTGATGTGTTGAATAAATCAGTAACGGGCTCAGAGCATGTGAAGCAGTCAGAAGGGTTGGCAGAATCACTGAGAAGTCATCAATCACTGACCCACACACAGAGTTTGTGTTCACACTCACCTCTGTCAAACTCATCCTGAATCTGTGTGGAAGGAGAGATAAAAAAGTATCATCAGTTCACATGTAACATAACTTCATTTACATTAACCAGTCAGTGTTGACTGTAAATCAGTTGTATTGTTGTGACAGTATCACACTCAAAGACATGGTGAAGACGTGGACTTCTGACTGGTCTTCTTTTTATTAACATGTATTTGTGTTGGATTTCCAACACTAATACAGCACCTAAACATTTTCAAAATATCCATATTATAAACATCTTTGATTGAAATGTTTTCTTTTATATCATTATTATCAATATTTTAAAGGTTAGTTTTTCATAACAAAAAAAAAACAACAACACATTTTTAAATTCAACCTAGAGAGTGAGGCACAGTTCAGATGTGGTGAATATCTCCACCTGGTGGCCGTGTGCTACAGTTACTTCCCAGTCATCCTTCACTCAAAGTTAAACCACAGTTCAGTTCATTTTATGAAGTGATGGTCTGCTTCACCCAGACCACTGAACCATTCAAATGCTGTAACAGATCATGACCTCGGTCTTAGACTGATATTAAATGAAATAACCATTTCATTTAATGAAACTGCTTCATTATCATATATGTAGAAATAAAAGTCCTTCTCTATTTTGTTCCCCATTTTATACTAAAGAGTATTTTGTTCACATTTTCAATGTCAGGTCATCAGCGAACAATAGCTGCTGCTGTGTTGTGTCCTGAAGGTGGTGTGAGTGGAGGTGTTAACAGGGCTGTTAGAAGCTCCTCCACACCTTAGTGTGGCTGCTGCCTGAGAGCTGGAAATCAAGTAGTTCCCACACAGAGGCAGAAAGGTCCAGAGTCCACCACCAGTGGGTTCCTGTGTCACAGGTGATGAGCCTGTCATAAAGAACACTGACTCCACAGGAACCTCAGGAGGATCATCACCAGAACATAATGGCCATAGTGTCTTTGTAGGTTCTAGGCCATGCAGTTAAGTAGGGAACAACTGAACTGAAACTGGACTGTCTTGGTTTCTTGGAGTTTTACAAATTTTCCCAAAGGAAACTCCAGAGGGATTAATAAAGTTATTTCTATCTATCTATCTATCCACCCATCTATTCATCTATCTACATGTGGTCACAGCACCACCTGTCGAGAGACCGTGGAACTCCATGCTCTGAGAGGAGTAGGTGACAATGACAAAAAACATACTGTATGTGATAGTCAATCCAGGAATCTCTATCACCACACACCGCACACACACTGACTGACAGGACATCACTGAAGTCTCTCAAGTTATTTGTTAAAAATATGACTGCAATTCTTAACAAAGTGCACTTGTACATGTTCTGAGCCACGGCCTTTCTGGTGAATTAAACAACCAGAACCACAGAGCAGTCAAGTTGTCAGAAGGGGCTTACGGACCTCATTTACAAGACCACGATGATGATGACGATTTAGTCATTTCAGGCAGAGGTTAAGTGAGTCGATATCTTAAGGTTGTTCTCTTTCAGTTTCTTTGACATTCATTCTGCTGCAGGATGATGCTTTCCCACACTGACAGCATCAAAGTAACTGAACAACAAAAGGACTTTAATGTGACAGAAGTGTGCCCTCTTTGAAGCTGCTTCTTCCCAGAGCAACACCTCCAACAGTCTGAGGGCTGAGCCCAGGAACACCGCCCTGTGCAGACAGAGGGCGGCCCAACTTTTATGATAGACTGACAGACCAAGGTCTGAAAGGCTCTCACACCTTGAGCCAGGATGAGACGCCATGGCCACTTGAAAGACTCAGCCATTAAGTTCAATGACACGTTGTTGGTTTTTACAACAATCCTTTGATTTTTGATGCTGCAATGACTTTTACTGAAAAGACTGAAGAAGAAAAAAAATCAGTGATTCAAACATTAAGAGTTGTCTGAATTAATACAAGGTGAATTAAAGGCTCCAACATTAACTTCTGTATCTTGTTCTGTAAATTGGGTTGATCTTTTTAATCTTAATCTGCAGGTAATCTGAGAAACCTGGTCCACTATTAACAAGGCTTTAATGCTGGGACTGGTTCCAGACCCAGTTCCCAGGGCCTGGGTCCAGCCACGGTTTAGTGGTACTAAAGAGTACTAAAAAGTGGAAATGACAGTCATTAGTGTGTGGAGGCGTCCTCCAACATCCCTTTAAACTTCTGAAGCCAGAGCTCAGACGTCTGTCAACAGTGTGTCGAGTGTGCCGCTGCCGCCACAACACATAAATGTGACAGTGAGACACAAGGGGGAAGCTGAGGGTGAGATAAGTGTGCTCCCTTCCTCTCCCACAGAGACACCTCCACCTGAATCTCCTCTCCCTCATCTGCATGAGAGTTGGTGGAAAGCACGTTCACACCTCTGTCAGACAGAAACACCTCACAGCAGAGCAGTGAAGTGTGCCACAGGATGTGAGGAGAAGGGGAGTAGGAGGTGGGGGGAGAGGTGAATCAAAAGAAAAAACTGGTGAAAAAGTTCACAGATACATGTTGAAGTGTGACAATGCCACACTGTGTGTGTGTGTGTGTGTGTGTGTGAGTGAGAGACAGCATAACACTTACCTTGTTGCCTTGTTCATCCACTGAGTTTGAACCTAAAATAAAGAAAAAAAAAAAACAATTTTAAATCTTTTTGAAAACTCCTTGAAGCATGGGATTTTTGTCCACAACGGGCTATAACCTAGTGAATAAACATTGATGACCAAAAACATTGTACCACCAGAGCCTGAATGTCACATGTCATCTGTCATTGACAGGTTTCTTATATTAGTTGGTTAAAAGCAGAACTAACCAACTGGAATCACAACTGAAGTTTATTTTATTACACTTTAAATAAATAATGTTTTTTTTAAAATAAAATAATACATTATGTGTAACATAATATAAAAAAGGTAATAATATAAAAATATAATAAAATAAATTAACAAAACACATCAGTCTCAATGGACATAACATTTTTTAAATTTTAGTTTCCTCCTAAAAATAAAACATACGAAACCAGAGAGTTTATATTAACAACACAAAGTTAAACATTTGATGGCATTCCAATTATGTAATTAATGTAAACCATGACTCTAGCATAACCAGCTTCAAACAAGAACATTCTAAATCCATTACTCATTCATTGAAAGAAGTTTTACACAATTAATTCTTGGACTTCAGTCAAACAGACAGCTGTCACATGACCAGAGTGAAGCGAGCGGCAGTAGAGAAGTTCACCGACTGTTTTACTCTGTTCTTCTCCTTTAACTTCATACATCACACATCAGAAGTCACATCAGCAGTAGTATTAAGAACACCAGTCAAATGTTGATATGAAGGTTTCCAAAAACATCCACAGTTCCATCGTTTCAAACATGATTTTTTTTAACACAACAACCAAATCGCCTGTCAGGTCTCAAAGAACTGTTTTCTGCTCATTTCTCCTCAGATCGTATCTCACTAAAAAACATGCACTTCACAAACCTGTATGCTGGGAAACCAGACTGGATGACCAGACAAGATGTAAAGCTGCAAAGAAGCAAAGATGCATTCTGTTCCCACTGAACAATAATCCAGTAATAATCCAGAATTTGGTAAATCCCAAATGACCAGCCAATAAATCCTTTTTGTTATTCCAGATATTGAATGAAAGTAATCCAAAACAGCAACAAAGGAGTGGAATAGCAGGAATTAAATCCAAGAGAATAAAAAATTCTATCTCCGTCATCTGTCTCAGACCCAAATCAGAAATCCACCCCTGACCGAAGGTCTCAATCATCCAGTGCTGCATTCTGGTTCTTCATCAAAAAAGTTAAATCCAACAGAGAAATATTGTAAAAAGAAGAGAAAATCCAAACAGTAAAATCCTCTCCAGCCTTAAAAACATCCTGAAGCCAACAGTGGACTTCCCTCCATCACTGCTGGGTTCAGCGACGTAGTAATCATCTGCTGATTCTACAGCCAACATCTTTTTAAATAAATGTCAGACTGAGCCTAAACCTTACATCTCCTCTCAGACTAAAACACTGTAACACAGCTCCTTCACATGTTGGCTTTAAAATAAGGGTTGCTGCTCCTCTCTGCCTTACAGCGGAGGGCAGAGCCTGCCTACCCCAACAGGAAGTGGAGGGTAATAAACCAGACACACCCATAGTTAACAGACCTCTCAAACACAGACACTACCAACAAGTGAAGGAGTCCATTCAGATTAGGTTTGACATTAGGATTCGCAGGTGCTGCTCATTTAACTAAAAAAATCACTTTAATTAAATGTAATAGATTATAAAATATTGGTGATGGCGAATATAGAAGCACCAATGATGAGTGATCTCAGTGACACAGCAACAGAGGGTTTGCTGAACTGCAGGGTCTATTAGATGGACTCAAATATTAATACAAATAATCTTTATGTTTTTAAGTTAAACCTATGTAGTGGGTTGGGCAATATTAGCAAAGAAAAAGTATACTAACAAGCCAACACCTTTATTCTAATAGGTTAAAATGACCAATGAGCCATGTCTGAAATGTGTAAACATTAAAAGTTAATTGATAACTCTGGTTGCACAGACATTAAAATTAAACAGGACAATGTGAATTAATACACACTAATGCATGTTTTCACTTGTACTCTAGAACAGCAGTGGAAATAAAATGAAGTATTACAAAAGGAACAATTTAAAGTTTAAATGGATGTCTGTGCAACTCAACTGCCTTATGACTGTGTTTCAAGTGATAAAACGGGTGCTCACATGTGCATTGATGAGGGTGTGTTGCACAAAAAAGAATACATTATCATCACAAATAGGGTTGCCAAATTCCTTCTAAGATCAATAAGGAACGCATAACTTTTCCTATGAAGCGCCTGGTTACTCATTAATTCCATTGACAATTTACAAGCTATGTTTGATTCTCATGCTAATATGGGACAAGGTGTGTCCCATTTCAGCTCAGCGTATGTATGTTTATAAATATGGGAAATTCCTTTGGTAGCCCTAATAACATGGCACTAATCTTAATGTGGCAAATATTTCCCTGGGGATGTTTTTCTGACGATTAAACACACAAAATAAAATTTTGCACAAATTTAATCTATATCAGAGTTAAGCAGTAATGAATATATGTCAAAATACTGTGTCTTCACCATGAAACGTCAGAGCAGCAGACAGGGCAGTTTGTTCAGACTACAACGTGGCCCTGTATGTTAATGACCAACATCAGCTCTAGAAGGACACTTCATCCTGCAGATAAGGAATTACGTTTCTTTTCTAACCCTTGATGAACATCTAAGATACATAACTAACAAGATTAAAAATGACAGCTCCTCTATCTGGCTTGATGTTGAGAAATCTTTGTTCAGTTGTCCTCTACAAAATCTAGTTTTTATTAATAAACTAATGTATGTGTGTTTTCTGTGTGTTTGCTTATTTAGAATAATTTCCTGCAGCAACAGCATCACTGACAGCAGAAGTATGTCCAGTTAAATTAGGATCAGGTGACTTATTTAGTTTAGGTGATTAAGACATAGTGTAGGTCAGAACTCATCTACAGCGACAAGAATCAGTAACTACTCACCAAATATGTAGACCACGCTCACTGCACCCCCCAGGCCCATGAGCCCTGCCATTCGTAGCACCATCTTCTTAGCATAAGCAGTGTTTTCTCTCTTCTTCTTGTCCTCACCTTGTTTTTCCTGTTTGTCCCCCTCCGTTGCCTCAGGGGGAGGCTGACCCTGGATGAAAAAAATAAAACTTTTAATTTTTCTTTCACAATCATTTCAGAGAATATAAACAACCCTGCTTCTAAACCACGAGACAGCTTAAGTTCTCAACTCCAGGAATCCTGTGTCTGCTGATATATTCCCACTATCGACATCACATTAAGTTCCTATTTCACTTTAACTTGGATACAGTACAGTGTAGTTAGAGAAGCCTTGACTTGACTGCGCACAGAGAAAATGAAGGACGGTTGAGTTTATGGTGACCTTCAACGTGAATCAATCTCGGCGATGCCATCTCATTCCGACAGATACCATAATAAAAGTTTGATTAACCAAGCTATAAATGTCAGTAAGCCTGTTGCTCCTTGATTAGTGCCAGGTTATTTTACATTTTTATATTATTTTATTTATCCCAGTAAAGATCCACTGAGATCAAGACTTTTCAAAAGTGTGGCCTGGCCAAGAAGAGGCAGCAGTCATAAAACCAGTAAACAATAATAATAATGTCAGAACAGACTTAAAACTGTAAAAATGTGAGCACATTGACAGTGCAAGATGACAGTTATGTATTAGAGTAGTAAAAAATACAAATACATAAAACAACAATTTACAATTTAAAACACAGGCACTGTTCTAATGATTTCCATTGATGGATTTTAAGGTTGGAGCAAAGGCATCCAAAGTGACAATGGAAGTTTGATTAAATTCAGATTAGAGGTCATCCCAGGCAGAAAAACTGATAGCTTTCTTTCCCATTTAAGATTTCACGCAACAAACAACAACGTATAGATTGTCATTGGAGCTTAAGGCATAATCATAGTGAACACAATTTCTATCTTTCGTCATGATAATAAAAAAAGTGTAATTTCACACTGTTTACGTGCACAAGATATATGGAAAAACTTTTTACTGTATTTAAGGACTGATTTTTGTTTTTAAATCATAGCACTTTGTTGACTGTTGTAACAAAGAAATAATTTAGTAACATCCATTTGAACCCTTGGTAAAAAAAACTCTGGTGTAAGATCATCTGTCTGTATTTCAGAGAACTGTTTGTTAGTTTCTTTGAATGTTGTCATTTTATATTTGTGACAGAAGTTTTTTTCTTTGCATGTATAATTTAAATAATTCTACTCTGTAAACCAGAAAAACATATATTTGGAGTTAGACAATTCTCCCTTTTCCAGATGTTTCATTTTTTAATTTTCATTTAGTTTTCAAAGGATAGCTGCTTTTTCTGCCCACATTGCGCTACCGTTGACCACGTGCAGCAGCAGGGTTTCCTATAATTACTATAATTGGTAAAAAGAAACCAACATACTTTTTGAGATATAAAAAAGAACAAACAATGCGAAATTACAAAATGTATAACTACTACTATGTTAAATGTATAATAAATTGAACACACGATATTAAAGGGCGCCAGGCACATCGTAGATTTGAATGTTTCTTCTCTTGTTATCAGAGATTATGACTGGGGTTTGTGTGTTCTGTTGTCGTCATTAATGGGACTGAGAAGTTTTCAGTTTTCATACTCTATCTGTCAGATAACGAGTTAGCCATGCTAAGCTAACCTTGGTTAATTCATTTATTCACCATTATACGGGAGGAACAAGCGGAACTAACGCGTATAAAACTGACATTTATCAAGTCAACAGTTATTCAAAAGGCCTCTCGTACCACAACGAGTCAGCCTATTTTATCGCTCATTAGCAAATATATTTTGACTTAAGGTAACGCTAAACGTTGAAAATGACATGGAGGTAACCTTGATTTAGATACACAGGAAGCTCGAAAGGGTGGAGTTCCAAGCACACTGACGCATTGCTTTTCCCGTAAAACGCCGTTTCAGGCTCTAGAGTACTTAAATCGAGCGCACACATGCGTCTAGTTACTTCACCTGACTCTGTTGCTGCTGCTGTTGAAGCCTTTCCTGAAGGATAGCCTGCGCTAGTCCACCTGTACCGCCGCCGGCTCCAGCAGACGGCTTGTCCGTGGATAACGTCCGTACCACAGCGTCTGTCTGGGCCTGAGAAGACAAACCTGTCCGTGCGACCCTAAGCCTCAAGAGGCTCCGGCTAGCTCGCACACACATGGGGAACACAGACGTAGCCGACATCTTGGATTGTAGCACTATCGCCGGTGAATGTGTAGGAGATAGAGTCAGAAGGACAAAGGGTGCTGATTGGCTGAACATCCGATGACTGATGTGGAGGAAAACCAATCATGGAGACGGAAGGCCATGCGCGACAGAAGCCGGGCGGGGCCTAGCTTTCTGTCCAATCAGGAGCCAAAATGAGTCTGACCTTCGATTGCGACACAAACTACCACAAGGGTGGATGTCTAAGTGGCCAAACTGCTTTTTGCTAAGTAAAAATCAACACAAGCATATGGGATTTTGTCTTATCACAGTTTCAATTCTTTCTCTCACTCGAAAGGCATGTTTTTTTTTACCACCAATACAACCTAAAACCTGAAAAACGTTTTCTCCGGATGATGTCCTGACACAAATATTTCCAAATCATTAAAAATAAATCTTAACACCACCAGGATAAATAAAACCGCAAAAGCCAATCAACTGTAATATATTACACACATTTAAAGGTTGAACTGCAATGAATCAAATAAAAGACTATGATGACCTAGAGACTAATATACTGTGTAATAAACAACCAGCTATATAACTTTGAACATGTAGTATGTACTATTGAATTTCTAACCCTTCTTTTTTGTCTTGATTTTCTTGAACTCAATTAGCTCACCAAGGCCCTTGTAGGTTAATGAACCTGTTAAAATATGTTGTGATACATCTTTACAATGGAGAAATATACAGCCAGTAAAAAATGTTTACTAGTTATATTCTATAATAGTATACACGTATAATAATAATAATAATAACTACAACAAGACACATGGTATTAGTTTGTTAATGCCTAATGTGTTAATATCTGTGAAACAGTTTATTATATTTATTTAGCTATTTTAGATAAAGCTGTAATTGTTTGGTCAGCGTGATGGTGGCAAAAAAGTCAGTATTTTGCCATTCTGCAGCAATAATGAAGAGAGAGAAACAGAGAGAGAGAGAGAGAGAGAGAGAGAGGGAGAGAGACCTAGCGCTTCATCTCCAATGAGCATCATCATCCTCCTCAACGTCAGACTGATCTATGAACAGAGATCATCACACAACGATCCGCGGCTTGGTTTCAGGTAAATCGAGAAACACATTTATAATTTTGTGAGTGTATGAGCGCGCTAATAATCAAATGTTAATCCTGTGATGAAGATAATGTTGACGATGGAGAGGAAGGTGATGATGAGGAGGATGATGGTGCTGAGAAATGGAGGCGCTGGTCTAAACAAAGCGTCGTCAATAGTAATATTCCTCCGTCCTCCATCAGTTACACTGCGGTACATATCATCCACTGACTTTATGGTGGAGTTCATTCTTAACACCAACGGCCCCGTGTCTTAGTTTATTTGGTTGTAATTTTTTTTGCGTGTTTTCATTGCATGTCGCGGGGCGTTTCTTTACTACGCACATTGGCCCAAAGCGAAGCTCCAGCCCGAATCGTGGCTGTTGGAGGTGGATGTTGTTTTTTATGGATGTGTCTGCAGGAGGAGGTTGAGGCTGAGACTTAAGTCCTGTTTCTGGAACCTGTTCGTTTGTGAAGCTTTATGTTATTGATGATGTGGTTTGATTTAAAATGGAGGCTGAAGGGAGAGAGGAGGAGGAGGAGGATGAAGGAGGCTGCCATGGCCTCCTCTGACTCATCCTGTACATATAGAGAAGCATGGAAATATTCTGGCACAAATGAATATCTGTAAAACGAGTTCGATTTTTTAATATGTATTTTTTTTACTTATTTGTTTACAAATAGGCCTTTATAATTTCGTTTTTTTAAGCTCTAGAACAGGCTGTCTGAATATTAACAAGTGATGATTTTTAACCTATGAATTGAATTCTTCTTCTCTTGACGCACTAAACAAGATCGTCCTTATCCATAGGCTTTTTACTGGGCTGCATGGAAATACTGATTAATATGATTCTCCAGAGGACCACTCAGTGGGCAGGTGGTTTGTGCGCTTTTGCCTTACAGTAGGAAAATTAGCAGTTTAATCCTCTGTGTGTGGGGGTTCTCTCCAGGTTCTCCAGTTTCCCCCACAGGCCAAAAAACATGTAGATTAGAGGTTAGGCAAATGTTCCCTCTAAGCCTCTTGAGTGTGAATGGTGATTTGTTTATAGACAGATAGATGTATTTAATACATACGTTACACATACAGTTATATAAGTTAGCCCCATTTTAAAGTAAACCCCAGACAGACCCTAACCTGGCAGCAGGATCACAGTACACACTCTTTGGACATTACACATTCAGGAAACTATGGAAGTGTAATTCAAAGATGCACCAGTAGGACAAGTTCAGTTCCTTTTGTTGTCTTGTGTTGTTATTTATTTATTCTCATACCCTGAGTCATACAGTCACATTGCATAACCTTTATGTCCTGGGTTCACCCTGGTTACGATGTTGAATACTTGGTCTGGACTGGACTCATCCAGTTACATGTGTTATTAAACTGTTTTTTCCTCTCCATCACAGTGTAGCAAAGAAAAAAGTAAATACATGTTTTTTCCCTGAAGCATACTAGTTCAGTCAGACTTGACTTGATGAAGCTCGACAGTCATTAATGTGATTTTAGTCTCATGCCTCACAGGCCTCATATCAACATGGAGAAAAACACAAATGTCTGTTGTTTCTTTCTTTCCTGATGGAGGATGATGGGCAGCTCAGTGATGGAATCAACAGCTACTGAATCCATTTCAGCGTCTTGTCCACTTGCTAAAGTAGAGAGCAGATTGAATCCAGTCAGGACTAATGATGGACAGGAGTGGGAGCTATGGAGCTTTTAGCTCCAGCCATCAATATCATATCCAGGCTCAATTAGCTCTATTTAGCTTTAGCTATTTATTCCTTCTCGCTATCTTTCACGTGAAACATTAATGAGCTAAGAATAGCATTGGAAAGAAGCAGATATAGTACAGATAGCCACAGACTCAGGTGGTCTGTGTGAAGTCTACGGTGATCAGTGAGTCAGACCAAAGACTCAAAGACTCAAACACAGTCCGTCCTGTGTTCCTCTCAGCATCGGAATCACAGTCAGAATCAGCTTTACTTCTGGAACAACCAGGGAATTTGACTCTGGTCTCAACCAGCAGATCATTGTGATGTCACAGCACATCATTGTTAACTAGTGACGATTGTTACAAACACAGATTTGAATTAAATAAAGTGCCGTCGTGTTCTGACTCCTCTGTAACAGGCCCAGCTGCAGAAACCCTCATCATGACTAAAGAGGAGGAAAACCTGGAGACGCAGGAGAAGGAGAGACATGAGAGAGAGGAGCAGGAGGAGGGCAAGGCTCAGCGAGAGGAGGAGGAAGCTCTAACTGAAGAGGAGGGGGAAGAAGAAGAGGAAGAGGATGAAGAAAGAGAGGAGGAAGAATATGAACTACAGGAGAACAGGGCAGAAGTAGAGGAAGAGGAGGAGGACGAGGATGAGCCAGAGGAGGAGGAACAGGACGACAGAGAGGAGAGGGAGGACGAGGAGACTCCCCTAGTGGAACCAGAACCAGAGGTGGAGCCAGAGGTGGAGCCTCTGTCAGTGTCCCAGTTTCAAAGCCCAGTTCATGAACCACGTCGCCGTGCAATGGTCCATCCCTCCGCCCAGGCACCGTTGCCCAAGGACTACGGTACGTTAACCTTGTGTTACTGCTGGCAGCCATATTTGATTTAATGTATATTATAATATATTATGTAGGTGCACTAAACAAACAATATACGCACAATTGACTGACTGTGTGAAACCTGGGCCTGTGTTGTGTTTAGTTGAACACAATACACTGGAATTAAGGAAAGACACAAACAGTTCTTCTTCAACAACTGTGAGTTTCTTTTTAGTGCTGGATTAAAACAACGTGTCAAATATAAAGTACTCAATGTGATGACATCAGCATCACAAATCCTGCTGTTTGTTTGTTTTTTCCTCTTTTCTCATCAGTTCTGGTTGTGTGTAACCTTTCAGCTTTCATGTTCATCTTCTAATGCCACACTTGTTCCTTTGTCTCCAGCCTTCACCTTCTTTGACCCCAATGACCCTGCCTGTTTGGAGATCCTCATAGATCCTCGCACCACCATACCAGAGCTGTTTGCCATTGTGCGTCAGTGGGTTCCCCAGGTGCAGCACAAGATCGACATCATCGGGAATGAGGTTTGGAACACATTGGTATCAACTCAGCAGCATCTTATCTACAGGTGGACGTGGAGGACTGAGGAGAAGTCTGGTTCAAGCAAGGGTCAAATATGTCATGGCCTTTACTGACCTGTGGTATCAGTCAAGTTTAGCATGTGTTCAAATGTGTGAACAAACACAGAGAGTGAGACAAAAGATTCTCCAGAGACTGTGCTGAGTCACTGTGGGAGGGAGTCAAGAAAGAGGATAAGTGTTACTTCAGTATTTTCCCATAAATCTATAAAATAACAGCATACATTCTCAGTGATAGAATGTCACTCCATCAGCTAACAATGGGGTCTGTAACCTCTGACAGAGTTATCATTTTACCTGCCATCTACTGGCCTCTTGCATTTAAAGGCAGGATTTTTTGTGTTAGATTTTGGTAAATCTGTAAAACATTAAATACCATCTCAGTGGGAGCCAGTTCGAGGTGCCCCACAGCAGGTGGCGCCAGTGTGTGGCCCCTGGGAGTCTTTAATGGTAAAGTTAGTTGCCAGACTCCTCCTGTCAATCACGTCATGGCCAATCACAGTTCTGTTTCTCTCTCTTTGTCAAGGTCAGTGTCTTCTTCCTTACTTCTCCTCACAGACAACAACACTGAGACAGTGTGAAGGAGCTGGTGGCTGAGAGTGTGTGTGTGTCATCACGTGTGTGTGTATGTGTGAGAGAGATCAGTGCAGAAATACCACACCCATTTGAAAGACTTAAGTTTGTGATTTTTGTCCTGGGCTCAGATTCTGAAGCGTGGTTGCCACGTGAACGACCGTGACGGTTTGACTGATATGACGCTGCTTCACTACAGCTGTAAAGCTGGAGCACACGGAGTCGGTGAGAATCACTTTATCACTGATCTGTGATCAGACTCTTACGTGTTATTATTCAACATCAACAGAATCTTTTTTTTTCATTTATAAATAAAATAAACCAACTGTAACTTACCTGTGTGATGCAGGTGATCCAGCAGCAGCGCTGCGTCTCAGCAGTCAGCTGATCTCACTGGGTGCTGATGTGAGTCTGAGAAGTCGCTGGACCCACATGAATGCTCTGCACTACGCCGCCTACTTTGACGTCCCAGAACTGATCCGAGTCCTGCTCAAAGCAGCTCAACCCAGAGGTGGGAACACACACCAGGACCATGACACTGATGAGTTCTTCAGTCACTTCTGTTCAGGCAGATGTTAGTGTGCCCTCTGTCATCCACAGTGATGAACTCCACCTGCAGTGACTTCCACTACGGTACAGCTCTGCACATCGCTGCCTCCAACCTGTGCCTGGGTGCAGTCAAGTGTCTGTTAGAGCACGGAGCCAACCCTACAGTTAGGGTACGGCCACTGCAAACCTATGATTCACCTGCAAAATGACAAATGGTTTCAGCTAAAGCCTTGAGTATTTGTGATAATAAAGAAAGAAAGTAACTCCCAGCCTGGTCTCTCTGCAGAATGATAAAGGTCAGGTTCCAGGGGAGGTGGTCCCTGACCCCATGGACATGAGTCTGGACAAGGCCGAGGCTGCCATGGTTGCCAAAGAGCTGAAGCAGCTGCTGTTGGATGCTGTTCCCCTGAGCTGCAACCTTCCAAAGGCCACGCTCCCAAACTACGACAACATCCCAGGAAACATGATGCTGACCTCACTGGGGCTGAAGCTGGGGGACCGTGTGGTGCTGGACGACATGAAGGTCAGCAGTTCTAGTTTGACCTTTCGCCTCTGCAAAAACAACTTATTTTAGTCTGAGTAGTGAATGTCTGCAGGAGGACTGAAGTAGGATTAAAGCTGTGGCAAAAAAAGAAAAGTGTCAGAAACAGACACACCTGTGGTTCTGTGAATATAACATCAATTATACCTGTATTAACCAGTGGTATCAGCACCGTGAGGTGACCCTCCCCTGGGATTTTGTTTGTTGTCATTTCTGACTCTTGAAAAAAAAAGACGTAGTACAAACCTACTACCAACTTGAATCTAGTGTGAACACAGTGTTAAACTAGTGTGAATCTATTATAAACTAGTGTGAATCTATTTTACTAAACTAGTGTGAATCTATTACTAAACTAGTGTGAATCTATTACTAATCTAGTGTGAGTCCTGCAGTGGCTTGGACTGGGCTGTATGGTTGTGGTGCTCTTGTGTTGATAGCGTTAAGATGTGTGTGCTCTGAACAGTGTGTTCTCACTGTGTAGCTCCAGAGAGACCAGAGCAAGGATGACATCCCACCTGAAAACCTCAGACAGGTTGGTTGGGAAGACTGGACTGTAGACTGTGGACCGTAGTCCTGACTCTGTCACGTGTCCTCCTCATCACATACTTCTGTCCTGTCCCTCTGTCTCCATCCTTCATACCTGACAGAAGACACTCACATATTCTGTCTCCATGGGACATTAACCCGACCAGGTTTGTCTGCTGTTGTATCTCCCCCATCTGTCCCTCCCACAGACCGGTACGCTGAGGTTCTGTGGTACCACAGAGTTTGCCAGTGGCCAGTGGGTCGGCGTGGAGCTCGACGAGCCAGAGGGAAAGAACGACGGCAGTGTGGGAGGTGTCCGCTACTTCATCTGCCCCCCTAAACTAGGTAACAACAACTGCCCTGGGGTGGTTCACTGCTGGTTCACTGCTAACTCTAAACCCAGCCTGAACGGTGGGGTCACTAAGAGGTTCGTGTCTCTTGTCTGTCACAGGGATTTTTGCTCCAGTGTCAAAGATTTCCAAAGGTGTTGATCAGACAGTCTCCTCCGTCACCTCCACCCCACGAACTCCTCGCATGGACCTGGCCTCCCGCCTCGCTGGAAAGACCAAGAAGGAGAAGGAGAAGAAGGAGAAGGAGAGACAGAAAGGTGAGGGTAACTTCCAGTGTCAGTCCAGGCAAGTACAGAAAGACAGATCTCTGTCTGTTCTGTCCAATCGTTTCACATCTAACAGTTTGGGTTGAAGTGAAGACCACCACCCAGTACATCAGAATGATTGTGTGATCACAGCCTGTGTGTGTGTGTTTCCAGCTGAGAGGAAGAAGTCGTCAGTAGCCAGTCTGGATCCAGAAGGACTGAACGCAGAGGTTGGAGATCAGGTTCTAGTGGCTGGACAGAAACATGGCATCGTCCGATACTACGGCAAAACGGACTTCGCTCCAGGTCTGAGCAGACAAACTCTGACTCTTTGGATAAATGTGTGGGTCTTTATGTGGTTTTTACTGTGTCTGGACTGAACACGCCACGCTCCACATCTTCTCCCTTCAGGATACTGGTTTGGTGTCGAGTTAGACCAGCCCACAGGCAAACACGACGGTTCTGTGTTCGGGGTTCGTTACTTCAGCTGTCTGCCCAAATATGGAGTCTTTGCTCCGCCCTCTCGTGTCCAGAGGTAAGGATGTACTCTAACACTGAGGATCTCTCTCCATCTCCATCTCCATCTCCAGTGAAGATGTCTGTTCAGATAACAGTGGAGGAAACAGAACACACAGGAAACATTTTCACTCATAAAAACAGAAAGAAATGATGTTATCAGTTCGTTTGATATGTTCAGCCCAAATGAACAAAACCACATGCTGACGTTACCGTTGTTAGATTATTGTTAAACCACTGCTTCTGTTTCTGTGTCTGTCAGAATCGGAGGTCCTAAAGACGGCTCACGCAACGACAACCCCCTGGTGAAGAAGGTCCACCAAGTCACCAGTGAGTATCTCTTCCCCCAGTGTAGAGTCACACACCCACACACACACACACACACACACACACGTAGCGATGTCGAACGGTACCAGGAGTGTGACCTTTGCTTCTTGTTCTGCTGCAGTGTCACAGCCCAAGCGTAACTTCAACACCATGCGTTCTCCTAAAGACCTGACGTCTGAGAGCTCCATATCCAGGTGAGATACAGGCCCACGGCTTTACCTGTTAACTCCTACTCTTCTACCTCAGGGGGGTGGAGGTAGGGCTGGGCAATCCCATCAGTCATTGGCTAAGGTTGTTTGTTCTCCACCACTGAGAAAGATGAAGATGAAGGAATGAATTTCATCCTCCCTCAGAGAGGTCACATGATGACGGAACCACAACAGGAGCCTTATGTTTAACAACACGACAGAAGATTTTTCACCTTCACCTCCTCAGTAACTCTCCTCTGTTCTCGCCTCTCCTCCACCTGCAGGTTGCTGTTCTGTTGTTGGTTTCCGTGGATGCTCCGTGCAGAGATGCAGTCTTAACTGCCCCACCACCTGACGGATGCTCAGACTTCTTCGTGCTTTACTTTCTGATCCCTGTCCGACTCCCGGTCTTAGTCTCAGTCTTCAGTCTCAGAGTGAAGACCTGGGTCTTCTCTGTCTCCGTCTCGCTCCACCCACTTCCTTCTCATTCACACCACATTCACACCATCTCCTGTTAAATCTAGTGCCTTGTATCTGATCCAAATGTTTTCTTTTAACCAAACTGAATCAGCCCTGCAGTCAGAACCCTAGACAACATCCTCACATCAACAGTTAACAACTCGTCTTTAACTGTCAGATTATACAGTCAGAAAATTAAAACACAGCAGATTCATAGACAGGGTCCCAGGTTTCTCGTGGTCCTCAAAAGCAACAGGTCAACCAGGAAGTGATGTCACTAACTGGGTAATTGATGGGTGAGGTTGGATTGAGGGGCATGTTGAACAGCATGATTTGTTAGATAAAAGCTGCAGGTGGTCGACTGGAGGACGAGAACACGTTAAGGTTTTAACCTAGGAATAAACAGATTATAGTCACCTTCTTAAATGATTATAGATTATAGATTATCATAGAGCTGCAGCTGTGGTCTGTCACTAAACTGCTTACAGATGTAAAAATCAAATTAATGATGAAAAAAAGTGTCTCAACTCTAATCGTATTTTTTAAACTTAAATATATATAGGTTTATAGATAAACACTTTATTGATGATCAGACACAATCTGTCATCAAACATTTACTTCAACAGTTTTCTTTGTTTCCTCTCACACATTTAAACATGAGGTCAGCTCTGTTATCAAAGGTCAGCTCTGTTATCAAAGGTCAAGTCTGTCCAGGCTTCATTTGATGCTTTAGGAATCAGAAATACCTTCACACACACATACATACACTTTTGAAATGTCCAAAGGACTGGGCCAGTCCTGATCCTAATCCTGTCTCCAGGGTTTCCTCTCTTTCTTCTTTCCTCCTCCTCTTCCTCCTCTTCCTCTCTGAACCCCCATCATTAAACTTCTGTAATTCTGTGAATGTAAGGATCTGTGAAAAGATGTAAAAAAAGGTGTAGATGACCTGCTAAACCTGTGTGTGTGTGTGTGTGTGTGTGAGAGAACAGTCACAGTCCAGGTGTGGACACGGACACACACATCATCGTCTTTTATGGTGACATTAACTCTGATCCTGTATCTTAAAAATGTCACTTTCTTAATTTATTTTTTTATGAACATGTTTTTTTTTCTTTGTGTTGTTTCACCAACTCCAGTTCTTAATCTGGAATGAGTTAGTTGTGGAACCTGAGCTTTGACATTTGCCATGACTTTGACCTTTCGACTTCTTTAACTGATCAGGTCTCTGTCACGTCTAATTCGTGCATTAAAACAACAGTTGGTTTAAAAACAGGACAAATCCTGACGACGTGCAGACCACACAGTCCGTAGCCTCTTGTATTCTCACTAGTTTCTGCTCACATCAGCTGAACCACAGAGACAAACAGCACCTCCTAATGGACTGAGGCGGATTCACCTACTGTGAATCACAGTCAACACTTTAAAACTCAGTCTGTTGTGAGACAGCATTGACGTCAGTGGGCAGCGACGCATCACCTTGTACAGTAAACGCAGCGTACAGTCAGTGAAACCAGTGACCACTGTTGGTTTGACAATATCGTGATCTGCTGTAATAATTTAAATGTGCGGCATTCTGTATTTTGGTCACTAGGTGTCCCCGGTTAGCTAGTAGTGACTCTATGTTAAACAGAATTATGATTAGCATTCATGGCGTTTCCGGGACGATTTGAATTCAAAGCACACGGATTATTCTGTTCCTCTTCAGGGAGTTTATGTTTGATTTCTATTGAAGGACGTTGAATGTTGAGTGAGAAACAAAAATCATCACCTGACGAACCAGTGACATCTACAGAAAGTCCAGTAAGGCAGTAGT